GCCTTTATTACTATGTTCAAGTGTTGTGAGCTTGTGTGCTTCGTTCTCCCCGGCTTGTGTCCGTTTGGCATTTTGCGTATCTGCAGTTTCCTGAACACATGTCGACTCATCTCACCAAGTATGGGCAATGCTATCAAGCACATCAAAGTCTGCATTAGTCAACTGCCTCCTGACCTTCCTGAAGAAGAGGTAAGTTAATGCATAGTGTACATGGCTTGGCTCTGCCTGACTGTAGTGCACCCATCATGTGTCCTACACTCTTGGTTTACTGTAATGCTAATACAGTAAAACCTGTAACTAAAGACCACCGTGACTAACGACCAGCCTGGTACTACCGACCACTTCGCCAGGCACGGACGGTCTCATATTCAAAATGCACTGTGACTAGCGACTACCTGCTGAACGCGACCAGCGACCGCCTTTTCTTGCCCCAAAGACGATTACTGACCCGTAACTGGCGACCACGATGTACGAAATCAAATGTTGCTCGAAGCTCCTTCTTGAAAATTTGCTGATTTCCATGGTCCTGAAAGGACTCTTTCGATACTACAGTACAGCTGAACAGCTGAACACAGGTCATTTTGACTGTGGAATCGGTGTGGAATGCACTACACCTGTCCAAATTTCAAGCTCTGTCAAGAATAAACACGATAGGAAACGTCTTGGAGAGCGCATCGAAAGCGCTCTCTGATCGATGTGACTACTCGGAGGAGAAACGAAGACAGAGCGGCTCTGACACCCCAGTCATACAGACGAATCGACGAGGGCATCAAGGAATCCAGAAACGAAGCAGCACCGCAAGGTCCTGATGCTGAAGGATCGTGTTCAAGCAATCGAGAAGTTACTCCAAGTGTTGTTTGACCTGGGAGAATGAAGTTGAAGACACCACTGCAGCTGTACTTATGGTTGATAAATATGGTGGTAAAGACACACCTGGCAGTATGGCGGTAAACACACGCCTGCCCACACACGCTCTCTAGGCTGCAAAGTTCTGGCACAGAGCTCTCCTTCTCACCACCACCACCATCAGTTCGCGCCTGGTCGATGCATGGCTGGCGGTATCCGGCATAGCAGGCTGGTACATCAAGTAGCGCATGGCACATAGATGATGACACAGCAACGACATAGCTCGTTTGCGACGTACGTTTCGTCCCCGCTGGACTCATCAGGCAATCTTCTTCTTGGATGTCTTCTTTTTTTTTTTTTTGCTTTGTTTGACCTGAAATAAGAATGGCATTGCGCAAGTCCTGGGGAATCGTATTAGCTGCATTTTGACATACATAATATCATATACGGGATCCATATATGGTCGCGCAGTGCAAACCTCTAACTAAAGACCACCTGCCACTAAAGACCGCTTTTGCTGGCACCAAGGGGTGGTCGTTAGTTACAGGTTTTACTGTAATGGTATTCATTGCTCTGCTTGCATTCATATCATCATTGCTCTGCTTGCATTCATATCATCATTGCTCTGCTTGCATTCATATCATCATTGGTTTGTGCGTTCAACGAGAGAGCTTGGAAGCTCAGGGCCCTACGCTATGCTTTTTTGCCTTGATGACCTAGACAAAAAGAGCATAGGGATGTTATAAATTCATATAAATTTTTCCTTTTTTTTTGAAGACATAACCTGGGATTCGAACCCGCACTATCGCCCTGCATGCATCCCCCGATACACTTCGCATACATACTAATTCTTCCAAGTTGCTTCACGTTATGATCTTGCATTTGAAAGCCCTATTTGAATATGCATTGTGGCCAGCCGTCTTTGATGGCACGGTACGGTACGGGACAGGTACGGTCGAGGGTAATACGACACCGTCTACCGCCTTGATGACCTAGGCAAAAAAAGCAAAGGGATGTTATAAATTTTTCAATTCTCCTATTTTTTTAGGCATAACCTGGGATTCGAACCCGCACTATCGCCCTACATGCATTCCCCCATAAACTTCGCATTCATACTCATCCTTCCAAGTTGCTTCACGTTATGATCTTGGGTTTGAAAGCCCTATTTGAATATTGCGGCCAGCTGTATGTAGCCAGCTGTGTTTGATGGTACGGTACGGGACAGATACGGGATCGCGCCAGGCGTGACACAAACACACAAACAAACAAACACCAAATTAAAGCTGTGTGGACCCTTGTTAGCGCCAGACGTTACTGAAGTAACGTCTTCTGCATAGCTACGGGAATTAAAGCTGTGTGGACCCTTGCTAGCGCCAGACGTTACTGAAGTAACGTCTTCTGCATAGCTACGGGAATAAACCACCTTTTAGTAGTAGTACTGGTAGTAGCGATGAACATTTTCCATGCCGTATCTCGTTCCTCTGCTTCACTTGTAACTGCAGTCAAAAGATCGGCTAATACTAGAACTTCAGCGGTATGAGTCTGAAAAGATTTCGCTAGCTGATGCTGCTATTGTTCAGTTTGGCGAACAGAAAATCACGGATGGCGATGTGATCATGACGTTTGCCTAGTAAGTTAGCTGGTGCCAACCAGTGGAGCGGTGTATGTATGTATGTACTTAAGTGCTATATCTCAGCACATGTATCAAGCTGTATGCAATGATTATGTGGATTTTGCAGTGTTACCATGGTTACTGTGCTGCTCTAGAGTTGTTTAGTAGTATGAGTATGTATCATGTGATGTAGTAAGGGTGTGGATGGCTTTGCTGCTATGCCACTCTCTCAATCACTTGTTTAGGTACTATTGCATGCAATAGTTTCACTTACTGGCTCCAATGTCCCAATGGTCTCGCTGTCATCATCCTGACTCCAGTGTCTCAATGGTCTCGCTGTCATCATCCTGACTCCAATGTCTCAATGGTCTCGCTGTCATTATCCTTTACATTTTCATCATGATGACGGCTTGTGCTTTCTTTGTCTATGTGCAGCTCAACAATTGTTCACAAGATCCTGCGTCAAGCACATCGTAGTGGCAAGCGCTTCCGTGTACTGGTGGTGGACTCAAGGCCGTTGTATGAAGGTAACGATTTTGAAGCCTGTTGAAACGAGAGAGCTTGGAAGCTCAGGGCCCTACGCTATGCTTTTTTGCCTTGATGACCTAGACAAAAAAAAGCATAGGGATGTTATAAATTCTTTAAAAAATCCTTTTTTTTAAACCTGGGATTCGAACCCGCACTATCGCGCGCCCTGCATGCATCCCCCGATACACTTCGCATACATACTAATTCTTCCAAGTTGTTTTACATTGTGATCTTGCATTTGAAAGCCCTATTTGAATATGCATTGTGGCCAGCCGTCTTTGATGGCACGGTACGGTAGGGGATAGGTACGGGACAGGTACGATCGAGGGTAATACGACACCGTCTAGCTGCCCGCAATATTCAATTAGGGCTTTCAAACGCAAGATAATAACGTGAAGCAACTTGGAAGAATGGGTATAAATGCGAAGTGTATGGGGGAATGCATGTAGGGCGATAGTGCGGGTTCGAATCCCAGGATATGCCTGAAAAAAAAAATAGGCGAATTGAAAAATTTATAACATCCTATGCTTTTTTGCCGTCAGATACGGATAGCGCCAGGCGTGACACAAACACACAAACAAATACCAAATTAAAGCTGTGTGGACCCTGGCTAGCGCCAGACGTTACTGAAGTAACGTCTTCTGCATAGCTACGGGAATAATTGATTCTGTTTTGAATCATACAGCTACCACAATACATGTAACGGTTACTGATTCACCAGTCTCTGGTTTCTTTAGTCATGCTCAGCTGCTCAGCTGCACAGTGCCATTGATATGATTATTGTATTCTTGATGTTTCTGGATGTGTTTCAGGTAATCTGATGCTTAACTACCTGCATGCAGACGGCATCCAGTGCTCCCATCTGTTGCTCAATGCCACCAATTACATCATGAAGACGGTAGGCTTTCCATCGCGCCCTGTCTGTGGACAATGCACATTGTATACACACTAGCATAAATCTGCCATGCACATTGCAGTGCCACTCTGCTTCTATTTTGCTACATTCACCCTTTCCGTGCTGGCCCCTTTTTTTCTCCAGCAAACTGCCCTTCCAGCGCACTGACTCTCCCGGTGTCGTTTTCGTGCACAGGTCCGAACGAATTTTTCTCTCAATTCAGTTCACTTTGATGGATTTTGATCATCCTGGGCTTGTTGGAAAGATCAGGACCAAGCGAATCCATCCTGGTACCTCTCAACTCAATATGCACGGCGGTGCAACTTGTACGTCCTCTCGAAACTAACTCACGATGCCTCGGAAAGGCACAGCAACTCGACCTCACCTTCCTTTTCGGTTTCTTGCTCCAGTTCAGCCGTTTTTCACGATTCAAACTGCGCTGTAAAGCAGAGATCCACGTGCTTTTTTCCTTTGGTGTCCATTACGCATGGGCTGTGCCAAAGGGAAATCCCCTGGCACGAGACAGAAAACTGCGAACGCATGAACAGCAAATTCACGATAGCTCAGTGCCGTGAATTTCGTGTTCACTCCACCGCCGCTCTGTCAATCTTTCTCCTATTGCTGGACAGCTGAGCTCAATACCTTTCCAACGGTGTATCGATTGTCGCTGTAGACTTATTTTTGACGGAGTTACGGAAGTTTGTACACTGATCTATGCCCTGCGATATACTGCGCAATCTAATGACGTCTATAGACGTCATTACACAGAGGCACACAATGAAAACCTTTGCAAATTCCGTTGTGACTCAGAGTTTCATGGCTGAACCAATCCTCAGACAACGATAGTGGAATAGGAGACAGCGCTGGTATATCTAAGTGGAGAGAGGTGTACAAATAAATGACGTGGAGACAATAATTTAATGATAACAATGAATAATATTAGTTTCGCGGTCATGCCACACGACAAAGACGACCTTCATGGTGGCGCTGGTAGTTGTGACTACTCTCCGGAATGCTATGGAAGGAGCCATACAGACACAACCGAACGCTCCTCATCTTCGCAACGAGGTACTCGTGCCAGCACGTTTCCACAGCCTGCAGAAGCTCCTTTCTGGTTTCTTCCCCCACGAGTGACGCGTCTGTCTGCAGGCTGTGGAAGAACGCCAAGTCGTCGACGTTGAAATTGGGACTGCGCCGACTGAACGACAACCTGAATGTCGAACACTTTTGATTTCCCCTGCGCTGCAAACACAAGTGCATTGATTTTTGCTATGTGTGGACGCGCACCATCGTGCTGGTACAGCAGTGGCTGGCCGGCTTCTGTAAGTTCTGGGCCCTTCTTCGAGCCACGCAGTTTTTCAAACTGTTTCTCATTTTCGCACTTCGGTGCCATGTGCGCGCGTCTGTGGTTGTGTTCTGGTGACATCCTGTCGAGAAATGGTTCTGCTTCGCCGATTTTTCGAAGGACTCCACGCTTTTCGGAGGTTCAAAAGCCTGTCAGAACAATGGACGACACCGCGGCTACCCTATGTAGGGAATAGATCACTGACATGTTTGTCTATTAAATGCCGACAGAAATATCATGGAAAGAACACAAAAAGCGCAACGGAGGAAGTCTCAGCACCTGCGGTGGGTGACAGGACCGCACATCGACGTACAGGGGTGTACTGTTTAGTTTCCTGTACGGCTGGAATGTTCCGGTGGCGAGATTCATGGTCACATCCAAGTAGTCGACGACTTTATTCTTGGTTTCGATTGTTATTTTTAGGCCGTGCGCTTGGAATATCTGTATGAGTTGTTTGCGAGTGCGGTCAGCATCATGACCTGTAGCGTCCTTCATTATCACTAGTCCGTCGTCACGGTAAAGACCCACGCACTGGTCGCCCAGGAGTGGACCGAGTTTGTTGAGAATGAAAGCCCCAACAAGCTCGCAGGCTTCTGCGCCGTCGTACGACCCCATTGTGACGTCGAATGACCCGTCCTTCTCCTTCTTCATCCACGCTTTGCCGCCGTCGATCAACAGTGACTTTTGTGCGTGTAGTATCGTTTCAATGTCCTTCTTGGATATTGGAAGGGGCGTCCTGGCATACGACAGAGCATCCAGCAGAAGGTCCTTCGTTATGCTGGGGTAAAACCCGACGATGTCAAACATGAGGAAGGTGTACCGCGGCTTGTCTTCAATGCCCTTGAACCACTCGATGACCGCTGGCATGCTCTGCCACAGATTCTTACATACGCTGCTCCGCATATGGCCGATAACTGTAGTGTTTTAGTCCGTGACTCACAACACCCAAAACAAAGCACAACCATAGTTCACTTGTCCAGTACGCAACTGGTTGAATATTACAAAGTAGAGCAATACAAAAGGAAGATAATGGAGGTAGTCCCAACACACGAGATAGCTAGCATGCATGAGTGGATGAATGCCAAGTGCGGTCATTCGACACTTCCATAAGGTCTAGCATTACCAACAATAGTCTGGCCCTCAGGTGATTCACAATGTCTGTGGTTACAAACACCACAGTCCTCCCTTCTAAAATGGAACATACTTCTGGGACTAGAGTAAAGATCGTAAACGTCAAGATGAAGATTGAGACAGAGAAACACGAGCATACAGTGAGGTGTAGTTCCGACATGGTCAACATGACCGGGGTTGTTTCTACTTTCTACAGGCCCAAGCGAGACACTTGCTTGCGTGTCCGCAGCGATCGGCAGCGATCGGCGTAGAGTTGGAGTCGGGGAGGCGTCGGTAGCGTCAGCCTCGTGCTGTTGTGGCACTGCAGCCGGCTCAGGCTCGGGTGCTTCTGCTGCGATCGGGTGCTGCGCTGGAGGGAGACACGGTGCAGCCACAGATCGTGTCGGCTCATCCACTAGGAAGGACGGGTGTCCCGCACGTAGCTGATCCAGGTGTCGCTTCCACTGTGCGCCTTGGCTGGTGACAATCATGTACGTACGAGACCCAAGCTTCTCGACTATGGTCGCTGGGATCCATCCGGGATGGTTGGCGTTCCGGTAATCGCGTGCTAGAACGGCGCCTCCAACCTCGAAGGATCGTGCCTTGCCAGCAGGCTCTTCGGTGGGCGTCTTGGCGTTCTGTTGTGCCGTCGACGGTCGCAACAAATCCAGATGTGATCGTAGCTGGCGGCCTAGGAACAGCTTCGCAGGCGTTGCGTTTGTAGCCGGATGGACTCCTCTGCGGTAGCTCATCAAGAACCGGTCAGCAGCAATCTGTGCAGGCGTTGACTGTGGTACTGCCTGGATTGCACGTTTAAAGGTCTGGACGAACCTTTCAGCTTGGCCGTTCGTCGCTGGATGATACGGCGCTGAGCGTCTGTGAGCGATGCCGTTCGAGGCGAGGAACTCGGCAAACTCTGCAGATGCAAATTGTGGACCATTGTCGCTGACGATGAGGTCTGGGCAACCATATCTGGCGAATACTGTCCTGAGACTTGCGATGGTAGCCAAAGACGTTGTGGAAGGCATCGGAATGACTTCGGGCCATTTTGAATGGGCATCGACAATGACGAGCCACATCGTTTGCCGCAATAGACCAAGGTAATCTACGTGGACGCGCTGCCACGCGCGATCTGGCATGCTCCATCGGTGCACTGGTGCTGCAGCAGGTTCGCTCTGGACACTTTGGCATCCGAGGCATGCTTTGACTGCGTCTGCTATGTCGCCGTCCAAGCCCGGCCACCAGAGGATGCTTCTCGCCAATGCCTTCATTCGTACCATTCCTGGATGGCCTTCATGAAGCTCTGTCAGGACAGCTTTCCGGTAGTCCGGCGGAATGATGACGCGATTGCCCCATAGCAAGCACTCGTTGCTAACGCTAAGCTCGTTGCGGCGTTGGAAGTACTGCTGTAGCTCTGCTCTTGGGCACCACTTCGGCCAACCTTGGAGCACATAGCGATGGACCTCTCGCAATAGCGGGTCGCTGGCTGTTGCCTCCTTGATCTGCTCCGCTGTCACTGGGAGTGGTTCGCATTGGTCCATGTAGAACATGTTGACCGCTTCCTCTGCCGTATCTGGTGCCGGAGGATTTCCTACTGGCAGGCGTGACAATCCCATCTTCGTCGCCACTGTAGTGTTTTAGTCCGTGACTCACAACACCCAAAACAAAGCACAGCCGTAGTTCACTTGTCCAGTACGCAACTGGTTGAATATTACAAAGTAGAGCAATACAAAAGGAAGATAATGGAGGTAGTCCCAACACACGAGATAGCTAGCATGCATGAATGGATGAATGCCAAGTGCGGTCATTCGACACTTCCATAAGGTCTAGCATTACCAACAATAGTCTGGCCCTCAGGTAATTCACAATGTCTGTGGTTACAAACACCACAATAACACCATCCAGTATGGCTTTGCTTACGACGCCTATTTTGGACTTGGCGGGGTTAATCAGCCTGCAGCCCGATTCCATTGAAAAAAAGTGGGACTATTGTAACACTTCCACTCCTCTCTTTTAAGATGTTTCTGGAAATGTTGGCGAGGAATTTTCAAATCCTCCTTTCGGAACATGGACTGGGCTGGCCCTTTGCTATGTTTCCCTACTTGGAAAGCATGCATCGGTTTGAACTTGATAGCTGCAAACTGTTTTAATATCTTTCTTCAATGCCTGTTTTGCTGTGTGCTGTTTTTGTTCTTATTCGTTTCTGTGTGACCTAGGCGACTAAAGTTCTAATGGGTGCTAGCACAGTGCTATCCAATGGTCACTGTATATCTCGTGTCGGTACAGCGATGATCGCCATGATGGCTAAGAAGTGCGAAGTGCCCGTGCTTATCGCCTGTGAGACATACAAATTTTCAGAACGGGTGCAAACAGACGCAATTGTCTTTAACGAGCTTGGTGAGTTCCTGAATATGATGTGATGGGCGTGATGTATTCGTGGTATCAAAATTCATGGGCCCAAGAGAAAGTTTGGTGCGGAGGTTTTGCTTTCTCCTTGAAATATGACCCATCTTGTAGTGTAACTTCTCCCATTGATGAATACTAGCAGGAGTAACCAGTATATGGATACCTTCTGCCTTTGTGTGTATGTGGATGGTTTGTATGGTTCTGCTAGCCTGGTGTGTGTGTGTGTGTGTGTCCTACTTCACGCTTGGCAATGCGGTTACACACTGCACTGGGCTGCGGAATTAAGACAGGCTCGACTTTTTCGATCGGCCAGTATCGTATTGTTGGTTGCACGCATTTATCCTCTGTGCCCCCCCCCCCCCCCTATTTTGCACCGTTTTATATGTTAGCTTGCTATGATGTTGCCAATTTTGCATGGCTTGGTTCTGTTGCCATGGAACAGCTTATGCAATGGCTGGCCACGCTTGCTTGGCGATGCCAACGTGGACAGCACTGCCGCATGCTGGAGTTACACACTCTAGGGGTTATGTACTCTTGATTGCACATCAGGCACGCACACATCAGAGAGCAGGGCTCGAGCTACTGTCTAAAAGACACTGTCACTCTACCACCGCTGTAGGCAAGTAACTTAGTTTCTCCACACAAGCATAATATTGACATTGTGCTGGTGCTGCTGCTCTTTGTGTACAGGTGACCCCAATGACCTAGTGAGCACATCATGCATTAGGAGTGCGGTGAAGTGCCATCAAGCCAAGGCCGGCAAGCCACTAGAGCACTGGGATGCTAACCCCAACTTGGCTCTGGTCAACCCACTCTTTGATGTCACACCACCAGCATATATCAGTCTGCTGCTGACGGAGCTTGGACCGCTGCCATGTTCGTCCGTTCCAGTTGTGCTGCGTGTAAAGACACCATGATTGACCACAGTCAGCCAACCATCTTGCCGTTGCTGTTGCTCTTGTCTGTGATGCCAATCCCGTAGGTATCTTCATCTTGCCTTGGACAATTGCTGTCACTGAGTGCTATCATTGTGTCGTTGCAACTGCACGTGCCGCTGTCGTCCTTGTTGTTACTGTTCCTATCGTGTCTGTGATGATCCTCACTCATGTCAGTGTCTTCGCTGGGGTCGTCAGCATGAAACAAGCTGAGCTTACATCATCAAACAAGCATAGCAAATTATCATTTTAAAACCTGTACAAATTTGTAGTATGTAAAAAATGTAGATACCCAGAAAAATCGGTTGGATCTCACCATGATGTCTCTCTGTTGCAGTGCTTCTGCAGACCTACCGGTATCAGTGTACATAGAACATGATTATTTTCTCTTTACTTATTGTTAACGGTCTGCCGCTGTTTACTTTTCATATTTGTTTTCCTGTCGCTGCAAGCATAGCTACATACAACCCCCAGGCCACTGCCCATTGGCTTGACTTCACTTCATAGCTACATACAACCCCCAGGCCACTGCCCATTGGCTTGACTTCACTTCATAGCTACATACAACCCCCAGGCCACTGCCCATTGGCTTGACTTCACTTCATAGCTACATACAACCCCCAGGCCACTGCCCATTGGCTTGACTTCACTTCATAGCTACATACAACCCCCAGGCCACTGCCCATTGGCTTGACTTCACTTCATAGCTACATACAACCCCCAGGCCACTGCCCATTGGCTTGACTTCACTTCATAGCTACATACAACCCCCAGGCCACTGCCCATTGGCTTGACTTCACTTCATAGCTACATACAACCCCCAGGCCACTGCCCATTGGCTTGACTTCACTTCATAGCTACATACAACCCCCAGGCCACTGCCCATTGGCTTGACTTCACTTCATAGCTACATACAACCCCCAGGCCACTGCCCATTGGCTTGACTTCACTTCATAGCTACATACAACCCCCAGGCCACTGCCCATTGGCTTGACTTCACTTCATAGCTACATACAACCCCCAGGCCACTGCCCATTGGCTTGACTTCACTTCACTCATTACAGTCAATACAGTCTTGTAGGCTGTAGTAGTAATCATGTTCAGTTTTGTTTGTCCGACTGAGCTGTTATTCTCCTTTAGGGGTGAAAGTTGGCACTGAGATCCCGAGTTCGAGTACTCTGATTTTCTCCGATCGAATATTCGAGTATTCGAGTGTTTTTCATCTCCTAAAAATTGCACACCAATGGCTTTAAAAAAATAATAACATGATACAAACCTGATTGAACCGAGTAGCAGTCATTGTTCTCGGGTATATTGGTTGGTGGGTCATTTGGGCTCTCTCTACTCGTAAACAAATGTTCACCACACAGTCTGCACATCACCATCTGCCGACTGCTGCCCTGAAACTGCAGATTTCTGTAGTAAATGCATGTACCATGTATGAACGAGTACTCTGATTTATTGCGAGTACGATTATTTTTGAAAAAACCGAGCGAGTACTCGAGTACTCGGTATAATTGTTTCACCCCTATTCTCCTTGTGTGTACCATAATCAGTACTGTACTCGTAGTGTAGAGCCTTGCTTGATAGCAGGGAGTCGTGTCGAAGTCGAAAACTTTGTATTTGTACAGTACAGGGTGGTGATTTGGCTATTTTTAACATGTAAAAAATTCTTTTGTTCTGGCTGTTTCTCTGCTCTGGATGGCTGTATCGAAACATCGAAACATGGGTGGTGGCAAATGAGAGCCAGTTTATCGTAGATCAACATTGCCCAGAAAGTTTGGTGTATAAAATTTCCTTTTCCGTGCCACGGCCACGTCGGTATAAATGCTAGTGGGTGTGTTACATTTGTGTGAAATCTGTAAAAATCAGCCCCTCAGGCCTCACTGGGCGAGCAGGCCAGTGAATTTATTCCGTCGTGCCTTTGGACAAGGTCTTGCCATCACTAAACTAAAGACAATATGAATAGCAGTAGACACTGAATACACTCTGTGAGAACGAAAAACCCCGCTGCGGTGCAATACTACCTATCCAATTCCAGTCTGACACAGCCACTAGTTATAAATTCAAATTCACAGCTTTCACAGGATACGATCATTGCGGCAGTTGACAAGTGAATTTTCATCTACTGGCACTCGTTGAAGTGATACATATAAACTTAGCACAGAAGCCATTAGAGTTTCGACCGCCAAATATGTAGTTGGCGCCACTAGCGCTATCTTGTTAAAAGTTAAAGTGCTATTTTGTCAATGCTCTCACCGCCAGAGTGTGAAAAACGTAAAATGTTTGGCACGCCAGCACCGTCATGTACGGAGAGTCCCATAAGCTGTCCCCGGGGAAAATCGCGGAAAAAAATCGCAAAAACGCGGCATAATATGGCATAATTTGCGGTGAATTTGCGGTAAATATGCGCTAAATATGCGGTGAATATTATTGATATCATTTCGCGGCGGAAAGTTTGCAGTTGATATGAGGCAATTTTCAGTGAGTATGTAGTGAAATCAATCAGTTACAAGTCTCTGGTGTAAGCACTCGTCATATTTGAGTACAAAGCCGCCACAATGAGACGTTGCTGACCGAACATTCGAACAGCACTGTGTGTACGTGTAGTGCAACAATAATGTTCAAAAACGCGGGAAAATCGCGGAAAACGCGGTCTTTTAAAAATCGAAAAAACGCGGAAAAAAACGCGGCCGCGGAATCGCGATTTTCCCCGGGGACAGCATAAGACAGCGACGGGAGCCTCGCAGACACATAATATGTGTAGGGCTCCCTGCTCGCAGACACATGTCCACGGCGCTGAAAATGGCGAACCGAGTGCGCACGCGTACCCCAAGCCATCATGGCAGAGAAGGGCTTCTCCCATTTCGCTGCTAAGCGACTGGCGAGACGCTTCTGGTACGCACTGTACTCGCGGTGGAGGACAGCATCAGTGGAACACACCAAAGGAGTAAAGGAGCCGCGTAGCTCTTCAGCGGCATGCTTGTACTTCCGCTTCTTCGCTGCAGCTGCTTTGTTGGCGGTGGCATTCCAGGACAGGTTGGCCTTGGCATAACTGGGTGCGTCAGCATCTACGATGCGGTTATCGAAAAACGCCACCCGGTTGCCTTCCCATACTCCGCGAGCGAGCCAGTCCGCTTGGAGCATAGGCCGACCATTCCTGTCCTGTTCCGGGATGAGGATCGCCGTGCTCGATGGTGACGCCGCCGAAGGCAATGTCGGCAAGCTTGGCATCACTGTCACGGAGGTCGTTGTGGCCTCTCTCGACAAGGCCGCCCTTATGGCAGTCCGGCCGTGCTGCAGGGTGAACTGGGCGCCACATCCGTCACAGTGAGACGGAAGAAAGTTGGGCTGCCTGCCGTAGCGGATTGCCAGCTGATACCGAAACTGGGTTGCAGACATGTCGTAGCCTTCCTGACGGAGCGGTAGGACGGTCAGCCAGCCGGAAGCATGTCCGTTGACGATGCGGGAGAGAGTGCGCCGTTCCGTTTTGGGGACGTCTTGAAGAAGCTCCTTGCTGAGTGCCCCTGCTTGCTCGTCCCTGATCCGGCTTGCCTGACTCGTCGCTAGTTGGCAATGACGAGAATGGTCATTGATGACCACTGGCCGACCGGAGCAGATGGAGTGCGCCAGAGTCCGAGTAGCATCTTTCGACACTCATGCGGCATGGGCACCCGGTGCTGTTTCGGTGGGGTCGGTGATGGCGAGGCAGCCGAACTTGGCAGGGAGGGCGAGTAGCTGATGTTCTCGCTCAAGGACCTCTCTACCCAGGACAGCAGGCGTGACTGTTGCCGAATGATGTTACGTAGCGGGGCGTACTCGGCTTCATGGCCTTCGACAACGCGGTGAATGTATGATCATTCGCAGGAGAGGGACCGTGTAAACGCGCAATAAGCTGCATGTGGGTATGCTTTAGCAGCATCAGACTCAGAGAGGTGCTCCACGCTCTTAAAACCCACGATGCAACTTTGTTGCTGACAAACTTCTGTACACCCGCTTCATCACCGATGCATCCCCCATTATATTCGACTTCAACTCTGTCTTGAAAAGTAATGGTATGAAAGGGCCTAGTCGGAACTATTATGGCTTCTGTGCCGTTCATGTGCTGATTTGCTTTCCTCCAACCAAGAATACATAATACCAAGAGTATAACCAAGAGTAGATAAACAACAACTGTTTATCTACTCTTGGCAAGTAGGGATATCAGCGAACGCACTGCGCAGCCCATCTGCGCAGGTCAGCCTGGCCCATCTACGCGCGGCCGACAAGAAAACTCATGAACACTTTCATTTTTGGTATCCCCCCTCTTGATAGTACATACATCTACATGCATGTTGTGTATCGTGTCGGAGAAAGGTCTTCTGGGGTGTCGTCGAGATCTCGTTGCGACCGTGACTCCTGCTTGTCTCCCTGGCTAGGTGCTGCTTGCTTTGCTTTTTTGCGTAGTGTTTTTGATTATTGTTTACTATTGCGTATTGTTAGTGTTCGTTGTGATTTGGTACAGTACTTGTTACGAGATACGACACATTGTGTAGTGTGTGTTTGCAGCACGAAGAAGACTGCTCACCAGAACGGTTAGCTCAGGAGCTTGGGCTTACCTTGTGCAATCACAGTTCATCAGCTTGGACATTGCGCTTGGTCCCATGCGAATAACCGACCAGAATAGTAATTATTTCTTCGTTGCATTTTTGAATTGTGTTCTTGCTAGCTCGTTGATTTATTTAGTTGATGTGTTGATTTGTGTTTGATTACTTATTTATTTGATGCGCGATTTATGTGCGCTGATTGCGTGATGGCATGCAATTTATGATCGTGCTTGCGTCAGCTAGCTAGATGCCTGCGCCGCGCACTGATGTTGAATGAGTTAGCATGCGCCCCGCGCTGTTCATGCATATATGGTACATGGTGTGTAATGTTTGCCGCATACGCGTATAGGTGCCGCGCCTCGTACTGCTCATGTGCCTCGCGCCGTACTATTGCTGTCGCTTTGCCAAATTTAGCTTCCGCTTTCCGAGCGCTGTACGCTCTTCTGTACGCTCATGCCAAAGTTGGACGCACGTTGTGGCTGGCCAGCGCTTTACCCCTCATGCGTTGTTCTTTTCCTTGATGCTGTGGTTTGTTTTCTTTAGTGTTCTAGAGTTCTCTTTCCGATGTAGTTCGTATTTTTCCAGTCTCTTCTTCTCAATGTATTCTACTGTTCATTCATTATAGTCCGTAAAGAATTACGTGACCTTTGTCTTGTGGCGTCTGTGCGATCCTGAAACTTTTGAGGTGTTAGTAGTGAACACAACATTTTGGCGACCACGCCAGGATCGAGACGCGTGAACATGGATGAGGTAGAAGCGAAGCTGATCGCAAATGGTCAAGCTTATGGCTACACTGGAGAGGCATTGCGTACTTACGTAGAGGAGCGTATCGAGAAGCACGAGGAGAAAGTGCGTGCAGACAGAGAGCGCGACGAACGAGCAGGAAGTAGATTGGAAAGGAAAGATGACGAGCAGCTGCTTGCGAGGATTGCAGATTTGGAGTTGCAAGTCCAGCACGCACGAGAGACTCAGAGTGATGAGAGCACTTTGTTGAATACGACGAATGGCAGTTTAGCGAGCAAGAGGGCTGCCATCAAGATGCCGAAGTTCGACGGTAAGCAGACTGTTGAGACCTATCTCGAACTGTTCGAGGATGTGGCAAAGCAAAACGAGTTCAGCGCCGACGAGTACCTGATCCGCTTGCGCGTGGCTGTTGCTGGCAGCAAGTTGGAAGGTGCATGCTATGGCTGCAACACCTTTGCCGAAGCGAAGCGCGAGCTGCTGATGGCGCATGGGAAGACCGCCGACAAAGCGTGGCAAGCCCTGATGGCCATACAGCAGAAAAGTGATGAGAGTTTCTACCAGTTTGTGGTACGAGTGACGCGCGAGACGGAGAAGTGGGCAAAACTCGCCAGGCCTAGCCGTACCTCTAGCCGCGGACAAATCGGTGAGCTGGACGACACTGAATTGTTCGGATGTGTCGTACGTCAAGTCCTGCTAGAAGCTGTGTCGGCAGAAACTAAGGCCTTCTTGATCGAGAAGAGATGTTACACGAAGGACTTGAAGGCGTTTGCGGAGGATGGTATGGCTTACCAAACAGCCCACGGACGTAGCAAGCTGAAGCCTGCCAAGTCTAGCACCAGCGACAAACGTATACCGTTTGCGTCGGCAGAGTGTTTGACGGTCAGCGTTGATGAGGCTAACAAGAAATTGTCAGCTATGGCGTCTGAGCACCGAAACGCGTACGTCAAGGCAGAGGGACTGTGTTTCAACTGCCTGAGACCAGGACATCGAGTGATGAATTGTCAGAACAAGGGTCGTTGCAAGCACTGCAACAAGCGACACCACAGTCTACTGCACAGAGAGGACAAACAGGTAACATCCGAACCGATAGCCGAATCGAAAGTCGGTACGTATGAATGTAGTGCAAACAGCGTGCACTTGATGACCGGCGTGGCTGAGGTACAAGGACCTAGCCGAAAGGCCAGTGTACGCATATTCATCGACCCAGGTGCGCAGGCATCGTTCATCACCGCACCACTGGTGAACTCGCTGCAACCGGCACACCTTGGATCGCAAACTGTCAGGCTGAAGGCGTTTGACGTGGAGCCGAAGTTTGAAAAGATGGACAGGTACCGTGTCACCATCAAGGGTGCAACGAAGTCCATTTCCGTCAATGCCTGGCAAAAGAAGTCGCTAGGTCTCCGGTTCGATCCGTTAGCAGACAGCACAATTGCACGTTGGCAGTCACAGGGATTGCAGCTGTCTGATGACTCGACAAAGGCCGGATCAAGCGAAGTGCACATGCTGATTGGAGCTGACTACTGCAATGAGTTCCTTCTCCGCAAGGAGCAAATCAATGGAGAGACGGCCTGGCACACTGAAATAGGCTGGGTGCTGTCAGGACCGGCTAATAGTGAAACCAAGTCAGCGACCGTCAGTGTGAGTTGTATTGAACTTGACCGACTGTGGAAGATGGAAGAGGTGCCGGAAATAGCTGAGACGTTACCGGACTTCCCGATAGAGCGGCAAGGCCCTCATTACCAAGTGGGATTGCTATGGCGATCTGAGAAGCGTCCGCCAGCCAACCTAAACCAAGCGATGGCAGCGGCACACTCACTGCTGAAGCAGCTACAGAGACGAGGTCAACGTCTAGCGTATGATGACGTCCTCATCACTGAGTACTTGAAGCTGGATGCCATTGAAAAGGAACCGCATCCGGAGGAAGCCGGCTATTACATGCCGCATCATGCCGTATTCCGTAGCGACGCCTCAACGACGAAGACACGGGTCGTCTTCAATGCATCCGCCGCCTGCACCGGAGCACCATCCCTAAACGACATGGTCGATCCCGGGCCATCACTCCTACCGGATCTCACTGGTATCCTCCTCAGGTTCCGTGAGTATGAATGTGCTGTACAAGCCGATATTCGCAAGGCTTTTTTTATGATCGGAATGCGTGAAGAAGATAGGCCATATCTGCGTTTTGTTTGGCCTGAGATAGGTAGCGAAGAAATGTGTATCTGGCGTTTAAAGAAGCTGCCTTTTGGAGTGAATTGTTCTCCTTTCATACTTAGTGCGGTGCTGCGCTTTCATCTCGATAGTGCATTCGAGTCTGCTTCTGCTGCTGAGCGTGATATCATAGAGCTGCTGCTGCGTAGTTTTTATGTTGATGATTGCGTTTCTAGCTTGCCATGCTGTGCGGATGCTGAAAAGCTGCAGGAGTATAGCGTTAATGTTTTGCAGGGAGCAGGCATGGAGTTGCGGAAGTGGCGAGGGAACACGATGACCTCAGACCCCGAGGCTGGTTCCAAGGCACTGGGTATTGTGTGGAACACCGAGTCAGATTGTATTTCGGTGGCTGCGCTCGGTGATGTTGAGTGTCCCAAGGAAGTGTCTGGTTGGTCTCGTCGTGCTTTGTTGCGTTGTGTTGCCGCTGTGTTCGATCCGCTAGGTTGGGCGTCACCCGCAGTTGTGCCAGGCAAGATGATGTTGCAAGAGAGTTGGAAGCTCGGCGGTGGTTGGGATGACCCATTCCCTATTGATTTGGCTGTCCGATGTGCTTCATGGTGGGGAGAGCTCGCAGCGCTTTCTTCCGTTAAAATCCCCAGATGGATCGGGTGTACTCCAGATGCTCCAGTCACTTTGCATGTATTCTCAGATGCATCCGAGAAGGGCTATGGCTGTTGTTTCTATGTTGTGTCCGGTTTGACGTCTGCTTTGTTGTGTGCGAAGGCGAAGGTTGCACCTGTTGTACGTCCCACTCTTGCGCGTCTGGAATTGTCGGCTGTGTGTCTTGGCGTGAAGATGTTGTCCTTTGTCGTCAATGAATTGAGAGTGCCAATTGAAAGGATTGTGGGGTGGACAGACAGCCTAACCACATGGCACTGGATCTCAAAGCCGTCGTATCACTGGAAGACGTATGTTGCTAATCGAGTTGCTGCAGTGCAAGAAGTTTCGCAGAAGCTGCAAGTAGAATGGCGTCACTGTCCAGGAGTTAGCAACCCTGCAGATCTTGTCTCGCGTGGTGTCCCAGTGTGTGACTTGCAGAAGGAGATGTGGCTGCATGGTCCGTCATGGTTGAGCGATGAGTCTCAGTGGCCACCAGTCATCTCGTTTCAGAGCACCAATGAGTCCGTCACCGAAGCACGCGTGTCGGCTGTGGAGGTTGACACTCCAGTTGTTTGGCCGTGGGAGAAGTTCTCCAAGTGGCAACGAGCTCGCGGTTTGGTCGCAAGTATGCTGTCATGGCGACACAAGGGTGTTTCGCGTGCAGAATTGATTCCATCTGCTGAGTCTGTGATGTTTCGCGCCATCCAAGAGCAATGCTTCCCCAAGGAGTTGTCCCAGTTGCGGAGCAAGGAGCCACTGAAGAAGGGTTCGAAGCTGTTCAAGTTGTCTCCGTTTCTGGATGAAGCTGGTTTGCTCAGAGTTCGTGGTCGTCTGCAGGAGAGCGATCTGTCCTACGAGGTTCAGCATCCGATCATCCTGGGCAGATGTCATCTAAGTGAGTTGTTTCTGCGTGATGCTCACCTTCAGCGAATGCACCAGGGTGTAGAGAGCGTGCTTGCGTTTCTACAACAGCAGTTCTGGATTCTCGGAGCTCGTCGTTTTCTTCGTAGCGTGTCGGAGAAGTGCATTGTTTGCCGCAGATTTCGCGCACAGACTGCTGCTGAGGAGATGCCGCCGTTGCCCTCAGACAGGGTGAAGCACCACCAGCCATTCGGTCTCACAGGTATTGATTATGCAGGTCCGTTGTACGTGCGCAGTTCATCAAATGTTCAGAAAATGTGGGTCGCACTCTTCGTGTGCGGTACTACTCGCGCAGTGCACCTAGAGCTCGTGGATAGCCTGTCGACAGAGGTGTTCCTGCTAGCATTGCGTCGTTTCATCGCCCGTCGTGGGAAGCCGCTGCGTATACGTTCAGATAATGCTACGACGTTCAAGTCCGCCGCAGACAAGGTGGCAATCCCGTGGCTCTTCAATCCGCCATCTGCCCCGTGGCATGGAGGGTTCTATGAGCGTCTGGTGGCATGTGTGAAAGCTCCCTTGAAGAAGGTTCTCGGTCGAGCGTCATTGAGTCGAGACGAGCTGTTCACTGTCTTGACGGAGATCGAGAGAGTCGTCAACTCTCGACCCCTCACTCCGGTTTCTACGGATGTAGCTGACGAGTCGCCGCTGACTCCAGCCATGATGTTGGGAGACATCTTTGCAACCGGTATTGCCTCGTCTGACAGACCACTCGATCCACGGCAGTTGTCCGCTCGAGTCAAGTATGTCCACACCGTCTACGAGCACCTCAACCAGCGTTGGTCGTCTGAGTATCTCATTCGTCTCAGTGAGTATCATCGGTCGAAGTCAACTCCGATTGTCGTGAACGACGTTGTGTTTATTGCCGACGACAACCGGAAGCGGCAATCATGGCGCTTGGGTAGGGTCGCAGAGCTGTATCCTGGAAGAGATGGCAAGTGCAGGGTGGCCAAAGTCCAAGTTGGCCAATCGTCCATGCTACGGCCCATTCAACGCTTGGTTCCGTTGGAAGTAGCGAAGGAGCATGTTGAGCCGCCTGCTGTGGACGCTGAGCCGCAGCCGCAGACACCCGCGAGCGCTGATCCAGTCAACGTCGTCGATGATGTTGAAATACCTTCGACGACCGTTGAACCGCAAGTTACGCGTCGATCTCGTCGTACCGTTCGACCACCACCTCGTCTTGATTTGTGATCAGTGTGGTTGAAGCCCTTTGGTGGGGAGAATGTTGTGTATCGTGTCGGAGAAAGGTCTTCTGGGGTGTCGTCGAGATCTCGTTGCGACCGTGACTCCTGCTTGTCTCCCTGGCTAGGTGCTGCTTGCTTTGCTTTTTTGCGTAGTGTTTTTGATTATTGTTTACTATTGCGTATTGTTAGTGTTCGTTGTGATTTGGTACAGTACTTGTTACGAGATACGACACATTGTGTAGTGTGTGTTTGCAGCACGAAGAAGACTGCTCACCAGAACGGTTAGCTCAGGAGCTTGGGCTTACCTTGTGCAATCACAGTTCATCAGCTTGGACATTGCGCTTGGTCCCATGCGAATAACCGACCAGAATAGTAATTATTTCTTCGTTGCATTTTTGAATTGTGTTCTTGCTAGCTCGTTGATTTATTTAGTTGATGTGTTGATTTGTGTTTGATTACTTATTTATTTGATGCGCGATTTATGTGCGCTGATTGCGTGATGGCATGCAATTATGATCGTGCTTGCGTCAGCTAGCTAGATGCCTGCGCCGCGCACTGATGTTGAATGAGTTAGCATGCGCCCCGCGCTGTTCATGCATATATGGTACATGGTGTGTAATGTTTGCCGCATACGCGTATAGGTGCCGCGCCTCGTACTGCTCATGTGCCTCGCGCCGTACTATTGCTGTCGCTTTGCCAAATTTAGCTTCCGCTTTCCGAGCGCTGTACGCTCTTCTGTACGCTCATGCCAAAGTTGGACGCACGTTGTGGCTGGCCAGCGCTTTACCCCTCATGCGTTGTTCTTTTCCTTGATGCTGTGGTTTGTTTTCTTTAGTGTTCTAGAGTTCTCTTTCCGATGTAGTTCGTATTTTTCCAGTCTCTTCTTCTCAATGTATTCTACTGTTCATTCATTATAGTCCGTAAAGAATTACGTGACCTTTGTCTTGTGGCGTCTGTGCGATCCTGAAACTTTTGAGGTGTTAGTAGTGAACACAACAATGCATAAACTTCAGAACATTGATGACTGAAACAGAATATCCTGGTTTGTGATGACATCAGTTTACAGATTTGTTAAAAAATGACACACCAAGTATTTGAATACTGAGCATGAGAACACCGGATCACATGTACTATGAAAGTACATGATTCAAGGCACTTTCCAAAGTGGGATCATCCCCATTTTTGCAAAAATCTTTTACCGGTATGTGTTTTCAAGGTTTTATTTCAAACGTCTGAATTGAACAGACTGAAGTGAAATCTAAACAGGTTGAAGTGCGACTAATTTCTTGGCATTGTCTTTCTATTTAGAGCTCCAAGTAATTAGTTACGATGGCTTCTTATTTAAATCCTGGGTAACCTCTTGTGCGTTTTGGGCGCGGAATGGCCGTGACGGGCTGGGCGATACAATGCGAACGAACGTTGACAAAGGTGTTGAAGTAAGTACACTGTACTCGTACTGTTGTGCATATCTGGCAAATAACACACGTATGCCCCTCACTAGTCTTGTGCAGCACACAGCGCCTGATAATGCAGTTTCCTGATTTTACTGTGATTTGCTCGACGCAGGCGGTTACGAGGGTTAATTCTCTTCAAGAGAACCTTTTCTAGAAGCCTACAGTATTTACTACAGTATACATGACGTAGAAGATGAGTCGAGAAAACCACTGTGCTGTAGCGAATTTGAAATCTTCAGGAATCAAATGAATCTCCAAATTGTATAGTCAAGCATTCATACTACATCGACTAATGGACTAATGGACTAGATACTAGATTCAATCATCAGAGCACAGCGGTGCTGAGAGAGCATCCGTTCACGTGCCCTCGCTTTGCTGGCAGTGCTCTTCTACTTGAAAATCTTCCTGCATTTCATGGTCACTGTGGTCGCACGCTACATGTATATGCGAACAAGAGTTGACAAGAGTTCTGGAAAAATGACACTTTCTTCACTAATCGCCGCCGATGTGACAACATCTTTCGTACTGTTGTCCCTCGCGCGGGAATGCGACTAGATGGTTGGAAGCGACAGTGTTGCGAATGGCAAATGGCCTTCAACGTCTGTTCTCACAACTCCATGTGCGACACTTACTCACACTGCTGCCTGGTGCCCACGAGGTGTTTGTTGCGCTGGAAGCGGATCGTCACTGCAAGTTGGTATCCCTGGTGATGTTTTGGCTCGGAGCGCATTACATAATGCAGGACTCTTGAAGCAGAAATTGTATTAGTCTACTCAAGCTCAACTGATGAGGGGTGAATTCCCCCGAAACACTGTGTATTGAGAAGGGAGTGGTGCTTTCTTGCAGGTTTGCCGAGTGGAAGGTTCGACGGGCTTCTCGTGTGCTCCAGACGCAGTCCTGAGTCAGTCAAGTGTCAAGTCAGTCGGCAGAAAGCGCGAGCTCCGACGTTCGGAGCAGACACTTTCTTCAAAATATCGAAGAGTTTTGAAAAATAATTTGCTGGCAATTCGGAGCAAAATATCGTTATGTTGGCTGAAAATTGGGAGAGTTTACACATATTACGGTGTACTTGACTCGTTTCGCACATGTTTGTCAACATGTGATCCACTTTTGGTCAGTTTTCCCACGCGTGACATAAATTCGGCCTCACTTTGGAGCAAAAAGGTAGCAAAATATTGGTGATGAGCCAGCAATATTTTGACCCTTCACTCGGGCTTTGCCTAGGCAGCTTTCATATGCACCACATGACCAATTGATCATGTTTGCGTCGGGGGGGGGGGGCATGTTTGCATACCACATGACCCAGTTGTATTGTGAGACCGGTTGTAGGTGATGTGCCAGCATCGCTATGGCCCTGAGTGCAAGCTCGCTTGTTAATCTCTAGGCAGCGGCTACCAGAGTCATGTGTGAAATCAGTTTGTATGGCCGCCTTAACCGATGTTAAGGACATTCCTTTTTCGAATACATGTACTGCTTCCATTCATCAATGCTGTCCAAATTTCCCGCCACATGCGCTCTCAGGCCGACCTCTCTGTAGGGTCTTTAGTGGCGCCAGCAACACCACTCCCAAGTTGTAGATATTGGCATAAATTCCTTCACACAGCTGTTGTTAATCATGCCAATCTCATTAGTAAAGGTTGTATAATATTTGAAATGCTAGAACTCCCCAAGCCTCCCAGCCCTCATTCAAACTGCAATCTTACACACAACGGATGCGGCGCGCAAAGGGATGCACTTTGCCATAGTTGCTTGCTGTTCTTGCCTTGCAGCTTCTGTACAGGTCATGCTTTGATACAAGACTCTACACGCCTACCGCATTGGGATGTTTCTCTCATTCTCTTTATCCTAATACCGTAAAGTCGCGGATAAAAGCCGGGCTTATAAGCACATAAGCCGCTTTCTGCATCAGGCTTCAATGCAAACCAGGCTTGTATGCAAACCCTGCTTATATGCACCACTGATATTTTTGCCAGGCTTGTATGCACATCGGCCGATCCGGGCTTGCATAGAAGCCAGGCTTCTACGCGCGACATGCGTAGATTTACCACTGACTACCGGTATGGCGGCAGTTTTACTATGCACTGTACATAGCGCATGCACTCTTGACCTACTCGATCCGCGCTTGCATAGAAGCCAGGCTTCTACACGTGACAGGCTTATATGCATTGACCCGTTTGATTTTCAGGCTTCTATCTGCGATGTGCTTGTATGCAAACCCGGCTTTTATCCGCGACTTTACGGTATAATATTGTACGCATGAAACAGTTTGGTTTGTGGCAAATTGCAATCAAGATTTGGAAAGAATGCACTCTGCTACTTCTATTTTTTTTCTGTTGTGGAAGGATAGCACTTGAAGAAAAGTCCCTTTATGATGGAACACGCTGCATTGGACGAGCAGATGATGAAGAGAAGAGTTCCGCATCCATTCCTATAACGGATGGTGCACGGTCTGTACTTTGCAAGGACCCTATTATCGCAGCAGGACAGTCTTTTGGTGCAGAGAGCATTGTCCAGGTAGGTGTTGGCTCTCTACATTGCTGTTGGTCTATCATGTGCTTGAGTAGTGCATGTCTTGGTAACTGCAATACAGTGGCACTCGGATAAGACGTACCCCCAAGAGACCAGGACAGTGTACTTAGTATCCGAACATGGACTCGGATGGAGAGCCAGGGATACATTTATAGAAAAGAAAAAGGACAGTTAGTTGTAGAATAATACTAGTACTAGAATTAGTTGTAGAACGTCAGTGCCGTCGGTCAGTGTCGTGCAATGTTTTCGCATGAGCTGATTGTTTAGTAGCTGCTGGTGGTGTTAGTGGACATTGTAGCGTATCTTGCAGTTCCCTTTGGTCCTTTTTCTTTCTAATATCCAAACATACTTCAATATGGAGCAACACCCCCGTGCGCCTGAGAATGTCTGTACTAGACAGGTGTACGCCTTGTCAGGGTATGTACTAGGTGCGTTGTTCCACTGTACATACACACTGTACATGACTGTAGGCGAAAGTATCATGTGATAGTGGTGTGGTGAGTGTGTTTGTGTTTTAACTCTGTTTGTGATATTCGTCACTGCATGGTATAGTCCTGGCTTCTTGTCTTGTGCAGGTGTGCTTGCGACCGTCCAGGGCGTCACTGCTGGTCTCTCCATCATTGGCACTGTGTCGTGATGTTCTGGAGCTTGCCAGACAGTGTGCAATATCTGCTGAACATGTAGCTATACCACAGAAATGGCAGTGTCACGCGGACTTGGCTGTGCTTCCACCAGGATCATTTACTGAGGAATGTTGGAAGGCGCACACTCAACGCTTGTGGCTAGTTGTTGCCAAGGCTCTTAAGGTAAGCAGGGGTTGTCAGCCTGTGGAGTGTGGTGGACGGTCTCCATTGGATGCATCTGACGTCATGCAGTTTGTCATGGTCAATTCTTCTTTCTGTGATGCATGTGAAAGAAGTTGTACCTTCATCCTTGTCTCTATTTTCTCAGCTTTTTTGTGTTAGTACGCATTGGTGTCACGAAAGTGACGGGCTGGAAGTCGTGTATCTCTTAATCGGGCAAATCCCCATGTAAGATCGTGGCAATAAATATGCACGCCAAACGTTTAGTGCACGCAAGGTATAACACACCTGGGACTAAGCAGTATTATTTTGTTTTTCAGATTTCAAGATTTTTCTGCATATTTCAGGCTGTGACTGTAGGTCTTACAACATAAATAATTGTCCTTCGTAGCTGTATGTCTTCCTTGTCCCCTGTATACACACAATACATACATTGTGTGTGTGTGTGTGTGTGTGTGTGTGTGTGTGTGTGTGTGTGTGTGTGTGTGTGCGTGCACGCGCGTGCGTGTGCATATGCGTGTGTGTAATGTGTATGCATGTTTGCGTGCACGTGTGCGTGCCAGGTGAATCGCTTGGTACGGCAAGGCCGAATCAGTGACACAGGAGAGAGATTTCCACAGGTTGACCTACTGCTGGGATCAGATCCATGGGTACATCATGTTGACAATGGTGTGACCTATTCCTTTGATGTACGTCATTGCATGTTCTCACAAGGTGGGTTTTTAGAAGGGTTCCAGAATAATTCATCGAACATTCTTACTTCTTTTATATTAAAGTTCTTAGCGTTCTAATCAGAAAAAGGACACACTTCAGGCTCTTTACGAACATCTTGAAAGTTTTCGGTTTCACAAGTATACCGGTACTTTGAAGCCTTCTCGTCAGGTGAACTACAGGCAAAGGTAAAGGGAAAGGAACAAGAACAGTGGATTAAGGAGCCTGAAGTGTGTCCTTTTTCTGAGTATTATCGCATTCTTGTCTCAGAGGAAACTATTTCTTTAGCGGTGTTCACAACTGGCGCGTGTATGCGTGAAACCACGCGTTTGTGCGTATTTTGCTGGTTTTTGAGGCGCCATGCGTACGGAAACGCGTCGAAATGGAAATTCCAACATGTTGGAATTTTCGGCGCGTACCAGCGTACATGCCAGTCACTTTGACTGGCGGGGTCAACAAATTAGCACTCGAAGGCGTCGCACACCCTAAATACGAGTCGAATTGCTGTTTTTTTTGTGGAAGCCTGAGCGCACGCTTGGGCACGCATGAAGCGCAAGCGTACCGCGTCCACGCGCCAGTTGTGAACACAGCTTTAGGCAGGGTTCGCAGCGAAGTTTGGAAGTCTGGAAAAAGTTTGGATTTTATTTTATTTTCCAGGTCTGGAAAAGGTTTTGAAAAGGTGCTCCTTTTGAAAAAGTTTGGAAAAAGTTTTGAATTTCGATTTTTTGGCCGCAGATGTGCTGCACTCTTGCAGTGCAAGTGGCCGTTTTGAGTGCCGCGATAGAAGACGCGCTGGCGATGCGTGGTGTTCACTGCATGGACGCGTCTCGTACAGTCATTTCAGTGCAGCTCAAGCGCGGCCGGTGATGCCTTTTATTTGGCCGTTTTTTGTTACTGGCGCTCGCGCTCGACTTTGATTCTTTGAAGTCGGGACAGCAGGATGGCGAGGTCCTTTCGCACTCAGATGAGTTTGCTGGCGAGGATGAAGCCGTCTTTAGCGCTGAGATGGACACCAGCTATGTAAATGTTTCATTGGAACCCCCTCTGGAGGCGGATTTGAACTTATCGAGGGGAACTCTCGTCGTATGAATTCCCCTGCTATTTTCAGGGGCTCTAGCTGCTGAAGGCGATATCATCGCCATGCACCTTGGTGAATTTGTTGATGGTAGTGATACCAGGGAGGATTTTGCTACTCCCTGGTTGTTCTCGTAGTGGAGAAGACAGTCGATCAGAAGAGGTTTATAATATTAAAATTTTTATTTTTCCTGCACGAGTGGGTTTGGAAATTCTTGAAATTGGTTTGGAAAAAGTTTGGAAAAAGTTTGGAATTCTGTGTGCTTGGTTGGCTGCGAACCCTGTTTAGGGTTTGGTTCACATATTGCCGGTATGCGCCAGGACCGGGGCCGGGAGTGCCTCTTGCAACCTCTCCTGGCGGATTGCGATTACCGTATTTTCCCGAATATAAGTCGACCACCCCAAATCCAGGAGTCAATTTCATGAAAAAAGTTTTTATAGCTCCATGACACCCACACATACAAAATGATGAATTCTCTGCGAGGAGAGATCATATCATGCCAGTTAGACAAAATCTGAACAAAACCAGTGTCATCCAATGTTCATTCAATGTTAACTGCCACTGTGCTGCCAACTGCCACATCGAATTCTATCGGGCGTCATCAGTCTCATAGCCATCTTCACTGTCACTGCCGTTGTCCTCTGATTCTGTCTCGCTCTCATCGCCGTCAATCACAGCCTCGTCACCGCTTCCATCCATGTCACTGTCTTCTTCATCATTGCTGACACCTTCATCGTCACTGCTGTTCTCATCATCATCATCATCATGACCATCATCAAGAAAGATATCGTCATCCTCCGTGCCATCAAGAGCATTCGAAATGCCACACTTCCGAAAGCTCTTGGTGACAATTTCAATCTTCACGTCATCCCATGCCTTCTTCGCCCACTGGCACAGCAAGTCTGGTGTCGCAGCGCGCTGACGACCAGATGGAGTGAAGATGTGTTCTCCTGACTCCATCCACTCTACCCAGCGCGTCTTCACGCCCTGCTTGAAAGGCTTGTTCAGCGAGACGTCCAGGGGCTCGCAGATGCTTGTGAGCCCTCCAAGAATGATGGCCACAGCTGTCTTGCCCTGCTGAAGCCGAGCCTTCACTCGCTGCTCTTTGTGGCCAGAGAATGAGTCCACGGCGAGCAGGGCGTTGGGCTTTAGTATAGCCCCTGGACGACGCTCCCACACACACTTCACCCAGTCCACCATGCCATCCGCCGTCATCCAGCCCTTCTGCTGCACTCGCAGAACAACACCTGCAGGAACTTGACAACGTGGCAGGGTTCTCCGCTTCAAAATCACCAGCGGCGGCAACTTTGTGTGAAGTGAGACTTCTCGTGGCCCGTGGTGCGAACGAGAATGGAGTGCTGGCCCTTGGCGTTGACGGTTCGTTTCGTCGGCATGTCGAACGTCAGGGGAACCTCATCCATGTTGCCAATCTGTGACAACGCGCTAGGGTGTTCCTGCCGGCGATTGATTACGAACCGCTGGAAGGCCAGCACTTTCTCCGTCAGGTCTTCCGGAAGACGAGCAGCTAGTGTCGTCCTCTCGCGCATCACCAGCCGATTGCACCGCATGAAGCGAAAACACCAATGTGTGGAGAAGCGAAATTGCCCTGTCGCTTGTCGCGCTTCCTGGCTCAGCTTCTTCGCCTTGCGACAAATGTCCATAGTGGACACTGTCAGGCCAGACTGCCGGCGAGACTCGACCCATTCTACGAGCTCTTGCTCCAAGATGGGGTGAGCAGCTTTCCTTCCAGCTCCAATTTTGCGCTTTGTGCGGAGAACGTTCTCAAATTTTCCAGCGTTCTTTGCTTTCCGCCAGTCGCGGATCAGCTTTTCGGAAACTTGAAATTCCGCACGAAGGACAGCTTTCAGCTTTTCTCTAACAGTGTACGACGTTCGACGAGGACCCATTGTGTTCTCTCCGGAAAACAAAACGACAAACAAAGCACTCTTTCGATCTGCGAGTCTCCGTGGCTATCACTACAGTACAGCAACACATCGCACTGCGCGCGCGCGGAAGTGACTTGACACTCGCGGGACGAAAGTTCACATGGTTCGTACGGTAGTGCATTTTAGTACGGACACTCCAGTCACTCCATTTGTTGTGCCAGATTCCCGTATGTAAGTCGACCCCCAGCTTTTGGCGAAATTTCTGGCGCACAGAAGGTCGACTTATATTCGGGAAAATACGGTATGTGAACCAGTTCAGTGCGTACTGCTGGAGGCCGAGTTTTCCGCATCCACAGAAACGCCACCACCCTCTAGGATCAAGGCGCAGACGCAGTTCCTAAAGCGGTGGGAGGTGAGTAAATCAGACCCACCACAAAGTGGTCAAAGACCGAAAATACCATTCGCTGCATCCACGTGTACCCAAGTCATACGGTAAATCATCTGTGGTGAGCGCCGGCAAAGTTGGGCAGTGCCCAACTCTTGCAATCAGCCTTGGCACCGATCCCGTAAAATTCTGATCGAAAGTGGTATGTGAACCGTGCACGCCAGTGTGGGGACCCAGATTTTGTCAAATTTTGGACCCAAGACTCGTCCTAAAATTTCCTAAATTGAAGCTAAAGATCAGGTCCATTCGCCACTCTTGTAGTCGCTTCAAGGTGTCAAATAAAGTAAAGTCAGCATACCAACCCATCCTTCTCGGATGATCTGTGTGACTGTTCTGCAACTTATAAGATGAATACAATTGAAACAAATACGAAATTCAAAAGATACATTTACAAGTTCTTGTGTCGTGATCAACGTTTTCATGCATAATTTCAACACTGTTCCTTACTAGACAGCAAAAAAGGTGTAGAAGTGGTTTCATGGTCTGCAGTAAAAGGTATCACCAAGTGGCCATCACTGAAAGACCCCTACTGTCCCATGAACTATTGATGAATTCAAGCTCCAATTGGCAATCCTGTCGTAGCATTTGGGCACATTTTGTACTACTTTGTACTACTAAGTTTGTAGTAGATTTGGTACTACAGCAGTACTCGAACTGTATGCACATGATCTCCTTTGGCATCGGTGCTGACCAGAAGCTGGCCCACTGCCGGTGCCCCCCCCCCCCCCCCCCCTGGCGCGTACTGGGCGATATGTGAACCAACCCTCAGTGTTGTAGCCATGCAAAGTTATTTTCAGATTGTCCCATTTTCACTGTGATTTTTAGGCTCTTTCGTTTTAAATTTTCTGGTTGACTTGGTAGCTATTTCTTGGCTACACTATGACTTTGTGTAGATGGTCATGCTTCCTAGTTTTCCTTATCTATTTTTCTGTTCGCTCTCTCCTGGCCAGGTAATATCACAGAGAAGATTCGCATATCAAAGCTACCCTGCCATGGCGAAACGGTGGTGGACCTGTTTGTTGGAATTGGCTACTTCACGTTGCCGTTGTTGAAGCATGCCGGTGCTGAGTGTGTTCATGCGTGTGACTGGAACAGCCATGCTATTGCAGCACTGAAAGCTGGCGCTAGCTGCAATCAAGTGCAGGACAGGCTACACACCTACTATGGTGATAATGACAAGGTAAGGGCCAGGTTCCACTGCCAGGTTCCACTGCCAGGTTCCACTGCGCCTCCGCTGATGCTCCGATGCACGTCATCCGCGGCATGAAGCATCATCATTACCATATTGACCGCGGCTCGAGCTGGTGCAGCGAGGCTGTGGCTCACCACGAGCTTTCGCTACGATTCCCGTTTGGTTTGCGATGTAAAATAAAACTTCAAGCAAACAAACAAAATTCTTGATCAAAAACTGCGAGCTGTGGTCGCAACTCGCCCTGTTTCCCGTACTTTGCATTGTTTTATACGGGATAATTTTATAATTCAGATTTTTATTCGTTGCGCAGGCCAGAACACGAGGATTTTTGATTTCGCGCACGCGTGCGCGCGCAGGCAGGTAAAACATCATGAAAAAAACGTAGAGCACGACCGCGGTACCGCAAATGGCGAGTATCAGTAGAACCGCGCTGCTCCGCTGCATGCAGCCAAGTGCCGCGGAGCCGCAGTGGAACCCAGCCCTAAGGCCCCAAGCTCAGTTAGCTTTACTGTGGAAGCCTGTACACCTTTGGAACTTGACTCTTGGTGTCTGTGCTGGATATTACGGTGTGTAGTTTTACTCAAAGTACTTGATTGGCAACATTTGGATGCATACATCATTGCACGCTTCAAACGGCCTCTGTGCTATAATGTGCAGGTTTATCTTCATGTCAGGTCCATCCTCAGGAATTGTTGGGACTGGGTATTAGAGAGGTTGCGCACAATGAAAATTCGTTAGATTTCGACCGTCCGGGTTCGAGTAACGAAAGTTGCTCCGAAGATCCGTCCAAACGTGACCGAAACAGAGCAGATCTACGAAAATATTTTTCGTCACCTGGAGTACTAAAATATTGATATTTTACAACTCCTTGTCTTGACTCTTCGTACCCGCGCGGCCGCCGCGTCGACCCACTACGAAAACGTTCAGGCGTTGTGCGCAACCTCACGGTTGACGAATTTTCGTTAGCTTTTTTCGTTAAAAATATTCGTTACGGCGCTACGAATTTTCGTTGTGCGCAACCTCTCTATTGTGATGTTGCAGGCCTCCTGGTTAATACTATATTATAGTATTGTACTATTATAGTATCTTGTACGATATTTATATGTGTATCTGTTTTGTTCCCTTTCTCTGTGCTTTATGTTCCTGGTTCTTGGTCTTTAGTTTTGTCTTTGTTAGTGCTTTGGTTTGACCAGTTCTGTAATAATAATAATGTCCCAGAACATTACATTGGCGACGAAGATGAACTGGATTTAATAGTTATAACTTATAGTCATATAGATGACCTGAGTAGGCCTCAGTGACAATGGCGCTCACAGGAGTAGGCCCGGCTTTGGAGCCGTTCGATCTCGAGGGTCCTGCCCATGAAGTTTCGGCAAGATGGCGCAGGTGGAAGAGATCATTCCAGTACTATGTGGATGGGCAGAACATTACATCCGCGAAGAGGCAGAGGAGTCTGTTGCTGTACTTGGCTGGTATGCCAGTACAGGAGAAATTCGAAACGCTAACAGAAGATGAGGACACCGACAATTTATTCGAGCGAGCTGCGAGTGCTTTGGACAAGGCGTTTGAGTTCGTGGCCAACAAGAGGTTCGAACAGTATAAGCTTCGTCAGATGTCACAACGGACTGGTGAAACAGTATCTCAGTTTTCGACCCGTTTGCTTGGGCAAGGCAAATACTGTGACTATGGCACCGACATGGAGGATCATGTATGCGACCAGCTCCTCATAGGGATATCGGACAATCGCCTCAGAAAGAAATTGTTAGAAGTCGACGACCTCACTTTGGCGGTGGCCTTGAAAAAAGGTCGCGAGTATGAAACAACGGAGCAGCACGCACGTGATATGTCAACATCGACAAGTACAAGTGCAAGTCACAGTGCAAGCCATGATGGGCATGGGTCCAGTTCGTACGGTACGGGTGAAGCTGCACCAGGAAGTGTGAATGCTGTGCACGGCGTACCCCAGCAAGAGTGTCACAACTGTGGAAAAGTTGGCCACTTCGCCCGCGACCGGAACTGTCCTGCACGTGGCCAAAGGTGTAGAAAGTGTGGCATAAACGGTCACTTCGCATCCAAATGCAACGGAGGTGACAAACAGCGTACAGGCAACACGCGTCACGCTCCCAAGTCGTCGGGAAAGGCAAGTTTGTACAGAAAAGAAAATCACTCGGCAAATCAAATTCAAGATGTAGACGATTTTGTGTTTGGAGTGTGAGGAAGTAATTATTTGACACAGGCCTCTATCGATGTCAGCCTCAATGGTGTGTCGACGCGAGTGCTAGTCGATTCTGGAGCATCATGCAACTTGTTGGGAGAATCGACTTTGGGCCAGCTGCAATTGCAAGGCCTCGGTGTCACTTTGACGAAGTGCACCAGGAAGCTTTTCGCGTATGGAGCACACCAGCTGAATGTCGTCGGCAAGTTTACTGCAATTTTCCAATGCGGCTCAGAGCGCACTGAGGACGAAGTGATCGTCGTCAGAGGAGATGGAGAGTTCTTGCTGGGACGTAGTACTGCACTCAAGTTGAAGGCCTTGGTGCTACCTGACGTGAATCAAGTTGGCAGCGCCACAGCTAGCCCCAGTACCAACGATGAAATCAAGAATGAGTATCCTGGTGTGTTCAGTGGTGTGGGCAAGTTAATTGGCTACCAAGCACGCCTTCATGTAGACTCTGAAGTTCCACCTGTGGCCCAACGCCAGCGTAGGATACCATATGCGTATGAAACCAAGGTGGATGAAAAACTTCAGGAGTTACAGCAATCAGGAATTATTGAAGAAGCTGTGGGCCCGACGCCGTGGGTAAGCCCAATTGTGATAGCACCAAAGAAGCATGGCGACATCCGTTTGTGCGTGGATTTACGCCGGGTCAATGAAGCCATCGTCCGAGAACGACATCCGATGCCAACAACAGAGGAGTTGCTGCATGAAGTCAATGGCAGCACGGTGTTTTCGAAGATTGACCTGAAGTGGGGATTTCACCAAGTAGAGTTGGAAGAAGAGTCCCGCTACCTGACAACTTTTGCTGCAAATGGGAAGTTGTACCGGTTTCGTCGACTTCCATTTGGTATAAGTTCAGCACCAGAGCTGTACCAGAAGATCATCAGCGATGTGATCAAGGATTTGGCCGGTTGCAGAAACGGAGCTGATGATATCTTGCTACATGCGGACTCACTGAACCAGCATGATGTGAGGGTTCATGCATTGATGAATCGCTTGCAGCAGGTCAACCTCACAGTCAACCCAGCAAAGTGTGAGTTCGCTAAGAGCTCCATTGAGTTCTTCGGCTTGCAGATATCTGACAAGGGCATACAACCAACTCCGGAAAGGATACGATCCTTGGCGGAAGCATCCAGGCCGAGCAATGCGTCGGAAGTAAGAAGCTTCCTCGGTACAGCCGGTTTCAGTGCAAAATTCATCCCTGATTTTGCTACAGTTGCTGAGCCACTGCGTCGCCTCACGGTCAAGGGAGCTCAGTTCAAGTGGACTACAGAGCAACAGCAAGCGTTCGACCACCTGAAGCGACTACTGGTGTCCAGCTCAACACTGGCATACTATGATCCTGAAGCGCCGATCGAGTTAGTGACGGATGCCAGTCCAGTTGGGCTCGGAGCTGTGCTTGTCCAGAAGCAGGATGGTGTTTGGCGGCCAGTTGCGTATGCGAGCAGATCACTGTCAGCGGTAGAGCGGAGGTACTCGCAGACCGAGCGAGAGGCTCTTGGTATTGTCTGGGCGTGTGAACGACTTCACACCTATCTGCTTGGCAGGGAGTTTACACTCTGCACCGACCATAAGCCGCTGGAAGTGATTTATTCGGCAAGATCCAAGCCCAGTGCCAGGATCGAGAGATGGGTTCTGCGCCTACAGCCGTACAGCTATCGAGTCAAGCACATTCCTGGAAAGACGAACATCGCTGACGCTTTATCTCGCCTGCCCGTTGCAGCGGCGGATCCAGGAATCAGCAGTGATGAAGAGTCGGTTAGACTTATCACTCAGACAGCAGCACCCATCGCTATCGGTATCAGAACGATTGAACGTAGCTCAGCTGAAGATGAAGAGCTATCTGCTGTTCGCAAGTGCCTTCACGACGGATCTTGGGATGGTCTGCCAGCAGCATACCGTCAGGTCCGAGGAGAATTGACTGTTGTTGGCAAGGTGGTGCTCAGAGGTCAACGCATTGTTATCCCTACAGAGTTGCGACACCAGACCGTGCAGTTGGCACATGAGGGCCACCAGGGCATCGTGAAGACGAAAGAGCGTCTACGGTCCAAGGTTTGGTGGCCAGGCATGGACAGCGAGGCCGAGAAGCTCTGCAAGTCGTGTCATGCCTGCCAAGTGGTTGCAGCGCCAGCCAATGCACCGCCAGTCAAGTCCACTCCTCTTCCAGATGCGCCATGGCAGCATTTGGCTGTTGACTTGCTGGGTCCACTACCGTCTGGCGAGCACATTGTGGTGCTTGTGGATTACTACAGTCGATATTTCGAAGTAGATGTGGTCAAGTCAACATCAGCTGAAGCTGTGATTCCGATGATTGAAGCCCAGTTCAGCCGACACGGTATCCCGACGAGTTTGCGTACGGATAATGGCCCACCTTTCAACTCGGAAGGGTTTGCGAAGTTTCTACATGAGTGTGGTGTTCAACAGCTTCGTTCTACACCACTGTGGCCGAGAGCTAACGGTGAAGTTGAGCGACAAAATCGATCCCTGATGAAAGTGATCCGTGCTGCATATGCGGAAGGAAAGACGTGGAAGCGGGAGGTTCAACGATTCTTGATGGCATACCGCTCAACGCCACATAGCACCACCGGAGTTGCTCCAGCTGAGTTATTGTTTGGGCGCAAAGTGCACTGCAAGTTACCAGCCCTCGGTGAACCAGCGACAAACGAGGCCGTCAGAGATCGTGACAGCGAGCGTAAGCAGAGTATGCGTGACTCTGCAGATGACGCCAACCATGCCACAAGCCAGTCAACGCAGATAGGTGACTCAGTAC